ACTGCGATACAAGATGTTTAGAAACAGGAAGGGAGAAAAGAAGGATGTTGTCACGAGCGTACCGAACGTGAGACAGCGAATTCTTCAATCAATTTGGGTTTACAGTTGATAGGAGGCAGCAGAACAAGGAAAGAATGAATGTGGCTACGTTCCGGTCCTCGCAAGTGCTACGTATGGTCGAATTTCATGTACGAACACATGCTGCTCGAAAGACCGCAAGTAAGATGCACAGGACGGTAATCTGAGGATTATGCGAAGGACATGATTCGAGTACAATTAGAAATTGTTCTCACCAAAGGAATTCCATGAATTGTTACGTCTCCTTCATCTGACGGCCAAATTGGCGTGGCCATAATTTTCTTCGAAGTTCCGTCAGAGCAAAACTCGAGAACAAATGTGCTCGGATCGAATTAGAACCGGGTTCTCTGCGGAATCAAATCAGCTACAATGTCAGTGTAAAAACGGCAACGACAGTCAAGAATTGCTGTGGACCAGTGTCAAGGAAAGCTAGCAAGTGAATGCAATTTCGCTTGAGCTCTTGAGACACAGCCTCGGAGGAGCTCTTCAACAAATTGATGTTTGAGCTTGAGCGCTTCTTTACGACTGTCAAAAGGTCCTCCATGAAGCATGGTTGTGGAAAGCTGGCGACAGATTCGCTCGTAAGCACCGCATGCGAAGCATTGCGAACAAAGAAACCCTGAGCACAAAAACAGTCGCGAAACCCTTGCGATGGACTCATGACGAGCGAGACCCTTCATGGCAAAATGATGGCACGGACTGGAGAAGCCGTGACAAGCAAAGTCTACGCTGTTAGTTGCCCATAATTGAAAAACTTTACAGGCTTCACTATAATTCCTACCCTGGTCGTGATAATCCTGCGACGGTCCCAGATTAACAACATGTCTGGCCAGGACTAGGAAGCTCTTACATAAACCCTTCTCAACTTCTCTCGTTTTTAACCCAAATTCAGTCCGTGAACACACACCGACTGATTGGGTTTTGAGACAAGCCATACACTTCGGGTAACTCCAATCTGATGGAATTACATGCCCAGTACACCCTCAATCCTTGTTGTGATTGCTTGGCTGTGCTTCGTGTAAACAGTACAATCAAATATGTTTCCCGTTGGTAAGCGTCAGTTGGTTTGACCGCTCGGTACTGTACCAAAATCTGCCTCTTCTGTAAACAATCTTCCAACAAGATCGGAAGAAAACGAGCTCTTCCAACATTGACCACACAGCCGTCAGAAAACTTCTCAAGGGATGTCTACAGTCTACACGAAAAATCCTTCCCTCTCATACCATGAACTGTAGGACTGTACATACTCCCAGCGGGAGTCTTGCAATTGATCATTGCACGTTTTATCTGGTTAGTGACGCTTTCTTCACGTGACCCTGCACGTTTCAATGATTGTAAAGGGTTTTGTTGGGTTGCCCGTTAGCTGTGCGTGAAAGGTTTGGAAAAGAATCTCGCAGGCTTCGTGTGGGGGAAGCGAAGAATACAGTAGAAGCGACGAAACAAAATGCCAGTTGCACTTTTGTAATGCCTGGGCCGCAATCTCGGTAAGGTTTTCGTCGAATCATGAGGTCGGACGAACGTGCTCAGCTGAAGGGCAGGATTATGAGCTGAGATGCCAGCGAGGCAGAGCTGCTCACGTGCCTGTTGCCACCATCACGGCCAGCTGGAACCAAGGACAGCGAACACAGACCACAAACGAGAACTAGAGGCAGAATTTCCCCATATGAGACCGATCGATGGCCCCGCCCACACAGCCCTTTCCTTCCCTCCCCTTCCTTTTTCACAACCACCCCTCTGAGTCCGCCCGCGTTCTTCTCCTTTCGCCACTCACCTTCGCCACAAGCATTTCAGAAGAACCAAGGCCGACCAATGGTTTGGGTTTAGTTTGGGGCATTCCCAACCCAACAAACCAAGCTGGTTGGCTCTCCAAGACTAGGTTCGGAAAAAAGTCGTGGAACAATGCCCTGCACCGTAATATAACTTTCTGAAACACAATAGTACGCAAATATACCGTGTCCAACCTCTTCAAAGTCGACTTTTTGAAATCCCTGTGTTTTCAAAACCTGGTATTGTTCTGCTGGAGCAGTAGAGTATGGGCTACGCCAGTATCCGTGATGCACTTCGAAATGCCTGAGCCAAGCCTCTTCCTCCCTCCTAGTGCATAGCTTCTTCCGAACCCCCACAGACCCCCCCCACAGATGTCCGTCCATCATGCAGTCATCGAGGAGCACGACGTCCAAGGAGTACAGCAGTATGACTCTCTTCTCTTGTTTGAAGCCACGCCGTCCTCCGTGCATCCGTGTCCAGTTGCTCTGCTTCTGACCATTCTGCTCGGTTCGTGAATCACGCGAAAAGGCCAGTCCTGATTTTCTGTGCTCTTCGAAGCAGCAGCATTGAGAAAGCACACTGTACAGTAGGTCTTCAAGTTCAGGGCAGACAGATCCAGGAAATTGCTTTTGATATTCCGGCTGCAAGACGGCTGGCACGAAAACCATCACTGTTTTACACTCACGTCCGTTTTGTAGCATATGATGGACCAAACATGATCTCCCAAATCCCTCGCTAAGCGCGCCGGAAGGAGAAATCACGAACGATGTAAAATGTCCTAGAAATCTGGGAACTGATTGCTCGGGGGGTGGTGCAGCTGCAACCTTGCACGAGACCTGGAAGGAGACCTTCTGTTCCAAAAACTACGCATACGCCGATGGTCACGAGTGTATTGTAGTGCTCGACTCTTCCACCATCTCTTGAAGCTCTATCAGAAACGCTTTGGCACGATAGGCTTTGGCACGATAGGCTTCGGTACGATATGCTTGAAAACTCCTCCACCACATTCTCATCGTCCTCGTCGTCTCACATCTGAAACTTTTTCCTTGATTCGGGGTGGTTTCTACCTCGAGACGTCCTCAGATATTTTCGCCGGTACACTTGTTCAGACCTTCGGCTTCGCCAGTAACCTCTTCGTTTGGCTGTTTCGCCATTCCACTTATGAAGAATAGCTATTTCACTTGAAGTTTCGGGTTGACAGGACTGCCGAAATGTTTCGCACCGCCGTATCCTCTGCGTGGAAAGCCGTTTTTCGCCTTATACGTACGGAAATAGTCCTACTCAGATTCGCGTGTTTCATATATCGCATAAGGTAGAACGAGGAGGGGGACATTCCACGCGGCACGTGTCACGAGGAAATGTAGCGGCTATGAGCACTGGACAGAACGTCGGCGATGGGAGAACCTGTCCAAGGTATGCCGGTCTCGATTCAATAGAAAAGTACCAGTGCGAGCGCGGACGCTGCTTCAGTCGGTGTCGAGTTCGCCTTGAGAAAGTAGGCAGGTAACGTATAAGAGCCATTACGTGGACGACTACCACATTATGCCGAATTACGAGGTCCGCGGGTCGCTGATCTATGGAGATCACACTGCATTTCGTGACGTGACATCACTGCGGAAGGAACAAAAGCAAGGGCAAGGCGGCAACTCGGCATGTACGGTAGTCCTCACGCAATTCTTCTCTCACGTCTGAGGCTTGTTGGAATGAATGAAACACTAAGATAATTTCACAAGAAAAAAAGGAGCAGCAGCCACAGAAGACTAAAACACCCGCCATAAGAACAACCCCAAGTATAAGCCCAAAACCTTTTCCCAGGTCCAAGACAGGGCTTCTTTTCAAAGCAAATGTACGATTGTCTCCTGCTGATCCTGTGGCACTTGAATTTGTTCACATTAGTAAAAGTGGCCATTGACACCAGCTGTGAAGGTTTCGGGTTTGTAGCTAGGCTTTAGTTTTTTTCTGTCACAAGCTTTTAGGTCAGCTTATGTCACCCCCTGGTCTGGTGCCCTTGTACACTTGTTGCGGTATGTCCCCTGAGCAGCGGTCATTTGTTGATTGAGTAGATGAATGAGAAAGATACCACTCCTAAACTAATGAAGTCTGAGACACATTCCGCTCACTGAAATTCTGAGGCAGCAGATCCTTGCGGGTTATGATGCCCAGAACGTGAGTCGGCTTGGGAACCACACAAAGATGACGAAGGCCCAACTGTCTGAAGAGCATGTATGCCTTGTTGAGAGACATGCTCTCAGGCACAATGTATGGAGATCTGTTGGCTAGAGGATGCAAGTCTAGGAACATTCCTTGTTCCTCTTCACTCAGTTGAATGTCCTCCAGCTTCAGCCCCTTCCCTGATCCTGGCTTACCAAAATCCTCTGCTGCAAGGTGCTTCTGGGCAGTTTCAGACACTTGATGCGGATGGAGCAGAAAGCTCTGCTTTGACCGTAGGAGCACCAAGAGATGACCTCTCAAGACAAGTCCGTAGAAGGATGTTGAGCCATCTTCGTGGGTGTCAATGACTGGAAAAGAGTTGTGGTTTGTAGTACGAAGTGTATCGTATATCCGCTCCACACTCTCCACGCCTGAAAACTTCACCGGCTCCGACACTAGAATGTCCTTGGCAGTATAATGACGCATGGCCTCCTCTGGATGAGCCTCCAGGTACGGGACCCCCTTCAGCTGGTTGTGCGCATCATAGATCCCGCTGTTGAACATGTCGCCGACCGTCTTTGAGACCAGCAGCACAATCATGATGAGTGGGAGAAGCTTTAGGCTTCCAGTCAGCTCCAGGAGAATCACACATAGAGAGACAGTTGTCCTCATGGACCCTCCCAGGAAAGACGCTGTGCCAATGAGTGCATACGTCCCCTCATCCAGGTTGTCTGCTGGTGCATAGTTGGACATGATTCTTCCAACCACTCGGCCGTAAGTTGCACCACAGACAATTGCAGGCACAAAAAGGCCCGATGGCACAGTGATGCCATATGTGAGGATGGACAAGAAGTAGAAGCAGAAGAAATAAATGCCAAGTGAGGTGAACCTGCAGGACAAGGCACCAAACGGTGAGAAACCCAGATTACAGAAATGTAGGGTGAAGAGCAACCCAAGTGCGAGGTGCGGAGTGGAGATTTGTAGTGAGGTAGTTGATTGCTCACGAAAATGCATGATGGGTTCCGCTGCTGAGAAGGCTTCGAATGGAATCATCGTTGGGTGTAAACAGCAGGCCAGCCATGTCGTTGTAGTGGCCCGGCGGGCAAGTGAAGCTCTTGTAATACCCCATCTCTGTCTTGCTGGGGCATTCAATCCCATCCGGGCATTGCTGACACTTGACCAGGAACGGCACGGAGAATCTAACTGCGGATGTCAACGCTGCCACTGCACATGCCTCCACAATTTTCCATACTCCACGCCTGAAACAAAGAAGAATTTTGAAGTTGAATGCAGCAGCGAGACTACAAAATCAACAATCAAGGCCAGAGTGAGAGGGAACAGATGATATTGCAACCCATTTACCTGCTTCCTTGCTGTCTCAACTTGCATAGCGAGAGGTTAAGCTGGTTAAAAATGCTCCCCGCAATTCCTCCAATGATTCCCAACCCAATGACTGGAAACATTTCCACCACACCAAACTCCGTTTTCGCCTCTGTATGATCAAATATGATAAACCCTCCGCCATTGTAAAGCCCACAGTGTCCATTGGCACAATAGGTCATGAGAGCACGGACGACCATGGCCACAACGGCATTTGTGAAAAAGACTCGCCAGAGAAGGGCACTTCGCCACCTGCACAGCAAAGCAACAACGAAGGCTCCAATGAGGCTTTTCTTCAGTAAATCAAGACAGTGACCAAAAGCAACTTCACTGACCAAGAGGTTGCTTCTTCCAGGGCAAAGAGCACACCACCCACAGGAGCTCTAAAGGCACCAGCAACACCTGCTGCAGCACCACATGTCACTAGATCCCTCCGGTCCCTGTCATTCTTGAAGTACCGCAACCATTTCCACGTGAGATGGTACTTCCGGGAGCCACCTTGACCAAGAACGTTTGCAATACACGCCCCTGTGTGAACAAGCGGACCTTCCTTTCCCACTGCAAGACCACCAGCGATAGAGCCTATACTTCCGAAGATCTGCGAGGAGCAAGACAAATCCAGGCATTAAAAGCCACTCTCTTATTACAACGATTAGAGATAAAAAAAGAATTCAGTACCTTGACAAACAGTGTCTTGGCTGCAAATATTCTTGGTGCGTCTACTCCGTTGAGATACGCTTTGACGTCCGGGATACCAGAACCGGCAGCTTCCATCGAAATTACATTACAGAGGACCGAGGAGAAGAGGACGAGAGAGACGTCGGAGCACACTAGGATTAGAAAGCCTGCAAACAAACTGAAGACGGGGATGAGAGTAAGGCCGTAGCGGTAGTAGCATCAGAGTCCATGAAGGACTAACGTAGTCATTGACAGCACAATCGAGGCTCACCTTTCGGTCTTCATGTATTTACGGACCATCTGGTACTTGAAGCCTGCGATGTTCTCGACACCCATGTTTATGAAAAAAGCGACAGCTCCCGTTGCAGCGCCAACAAGCAGGACGAAGAGCCATTTGAGCAATGTGTACTGGAGGTGCTCTACTCGCGTTCTTGAGCGCCAGTCCTCGTCGTGAATCGCAGACTCAAGGACCCTGAAAAGAACGGAAAGCGATAACTACGTCAAGTCATATCCATGGAATCGTCTCTAAATGAAGCGAAGTGCAAAACGTCCCACTCACTCATAATCTAAGCTTTCATGTTGAATCGGTTTGGAAAGGCATCGTGCTAAAGCTTCCTTCGGGCCCGGGTCGTCATTGGAATCAAGACCAGGAAGGACTACCGAACCATATTGAGACGAAGAAACGGCCTGGTCATCCAAGAGGGGACGCACTTCGCCATTGCAAACTGCTTCACCTACTTCCTTCGACCTTTTCGCCATCTGACATGCAGCTAGCAATCAACGACCACCTAGCAGCGAATGAAGTTCTCGTACCAAGGGACAGCCAATTTTCTCAATGAACATCAGCACCGACACATGCACGGTCTCCAGAGCTCCATGGAAACGAAGGATTTACAAAATGCACTGCACTTGGCCAGTTTGAATTGATGTGGCTGCAATGCAAGCACCAGCAGGAGAGGTGGGGGAGGGGAGAATCTAGAACAGCATTATGAGGGAAAAGCAGCAAGTGCAACATGCAATGCAAACCAGCGGACCGAGCTCCACCAGCTCTAACCCAGCTTCCATCCAGCGCTTTTGGGTTGTCACTGGCGGAGGTTGGCGGTTGCTTGACACGCAGTTTGAAAAAATTCCAGCTTGGCCGACGAAATGCTCACGCGGCTTCTTCAACGGCTACCGCGGGAATTGCCGATATGGAGATCTCCGATATTGCCGAAATTTGACCTTGATGGCCATTCCTACTTCATATATAAGTGGTTGCACAGCATGCATCAGGATTGTGGAGCCCAAATTGTTTAACCTTCTTGGCTAAGCACGATTTGTCCTCCGGCCTACGTCTAGTGCAAGCTCTGTGTCAATGTTGAGCGAGATATCTAGAGCTTTTACAGAATGGGTCAAAGCACCACTGCATGCACAACACAGAAGCACAAGGTTGGCATTAGAAAATGCACACAAAAAAAGAAAAGAAAATACCATCGACAAACATGCAGACAAGAAACCCATAGAACTAACCTTGAAATGAAATCAACACCGGTTGCAGCAATAGCACCGACAGTCTCTAAAGTCACGTTGCCCGACGCCTGCAAAAGAAACAACAGACAAGCAGCAAGCATGAACTTCCACACCACCTAAATCTCCACAAACATGCACCCATATCTTTCCGCCCATTTTCCCCCATCCTCCAGTCATCCTACCTCCGTTTCCAGCTGTCCTTTCACCAGATCCACTGCCTGCTGCAGCATGGTTACATCCACATGCACTGCGCCCCCGCCATCCCCTCCCCCTCGTCGCGGCACCACCATATTGTCCAGCATCACCCTCGTCACCCGCCCCACTCCCTCGCCACGGCACCTCAGCACCTCCTGGAGCTCATCCAGGGTGCGGGCCTCCACCTGGGGTGGTAAGTGCAGGCAGGAGAGAGGGAGAGAGGGACTAACAAGAGGTTATCACCCGCCCCACTCCCTCCCCACGGCACCGCAGCACCTCCTGCAGCTCATCCAGAGTGCGGGCCTCCACCTGCAGTGGCGGGTGGGTGTGGAGGTGAAGGGGAGGGAGGGAGGGCATAAAACTGGCTGCAAAGCCAGGATGCTTCCCAGCATGGCTTGAGTGACCCAGCCCACCATGCACCCCAGCAGCATCCCTCCGTCCCCACCCAGCAATTCGGGCCAGTAATTGGCTGGATGGTTGAATGGCTGGATGGAGTCAGATCCACCACCACCGCCACCGCCACCACCGCCAGCGCCACCGCCATTGTCACCGCCATTGCCACCTACTCACTCTCCCCACTCACACCGCCACGTACTAACTCCCCCTGGCTGCCCTCACTCACCTCCACGGGGAGATCCAGGCCGTTGGATCGAATGTACTCTCTGGCAGCGTTGATGGCAGTGGGCACACTGGCAGGCGCACCACCATCTACGCACTCTCCCCCCCTTCAAGCCGCCACCTGCTCTCACTCCCCGCCCGTCACTCACCATTTGAGTCGACTCAAAAGCTCACTGGCAGGCGCACCACCATCTACGCTCTCCCCCCCCTCAAGCCGCCACCTGCTCTCGTTCCCCCCTGCACTCACCTCCACCGGGAGATCCAGGCCGTTGGATCGAATGTACTCTCTGGCAGAGCTGATGGCGGCGGGCACACCGCCAGCAGCAGCGATGTGGTTGTCCTTGACCAGCAGCATGTCGTACAGCCCCACTCGGTGGTTCTGCCCGCCTCCTATCAGCACCTGGGACACAGACAGAGGGCGGTAGGGTAGGGACGACTTCTGAGCCACTTCACAAAACAAGTGGTGGGCTGTACTGGACAGCCCCACCCCGTGGTTGCGCCGCCGGCCTACTGGCATCTGGGGACAGACAGAGCAGGGTAATGTAGGGACGCGTGTTGAGTTGGTTCACAGACCAGCAGCATGTCATACAGCCCCACGCGGTGGCTCCGCCTCCCGCCTATCAGCACTTGTGAGAGGCATGAAAGTAACTCCGCATTTGCTCTCTCTTGGCGCTCTTGGCGTATGGGAGATAAATTTCCGGTGGCTCAAATCCTGCTTTCCCATGCCACTCTTCAAACCACTCAACTTCCGCCACACGATTTTCAGGGCCAACCCCCGGCCACTACACTTCTCCTAGTCAAGCCACTCCATACCCTTCTTATTCCAGGCGTTTCTTGACAATGCCCAAAACGCCTCCTTGTCAAGCCATTCCGTCCCCCTCCCTCCAACACACTCTTGTAGCCGGCTCTCGTCGACAGGTTGACAGATAGAGAGATTCACAGCTTTGCAAGTGTGCTACGAGACAACACTCACCGCCCACTTGTCTGTGATTCTGAGTCCCGGGGCGGTCTTGCGTGTCTCTAGCACGGTGGCAGGGCGGGCTGCCTCTACCATGGCCTGGCATGCGGGGCGAAAGCGGGAGCGGGTAGATGGAACAGGGAAGGGCAGGGAGAGAGGGGGGGAAATGCGGGAAGCGAAGTTGCTGTGGCAGGGCGGGCTGCCTCCACCATGGGCTGGCATGTGGGGGGAAGGAGGAGAAGAGGAGGGGAAGAGAGCAGGGGGAAGGGCGGGGAGAGGAGGGTAGGAAATCTGGGGGAGAGGTGGAGGAGAGGGAAAAGGGAGGGACAGGAAGTTGCTATGTGCACCATGTTACCTGGAGTCACTCTCTCCGCCCATCCAATAAACCCACTCACTACCCACCAGCTCACTTCTCACCCACTCACCACCCACCCACTCAGCCGCTTAACTGTTTTCTAACCCAGGCCTCCCTGTGCTGACTCGTCCTTCCCTCTGCTGACTCAGCCATCAGCAGACCTGTCCCAGCCTCTAACAGTGCTGACTCACCCTAGTGGACGTGGCAATGCTGACTCACCCTGGTGGACGTGGCAATGCTGACTCACCCTGGTGGACGTGGCAATGCTGACTCACCCTGGTGGACGTGGCAATGCTGACTCACCCTGGTGGACGTGGCAATGCTGACTCACCCTGGTGGACGTGGCAATGCTGACTCACCCTGGTGGACGTGGCAATGCTGACTCACCCTGGTGGACGTGGCAATGCTGACTCACCCTAGTGGACGTGGCAATGCTGACTCACCCTAGTGGACGTGGCAATGCTGACTCACCCTAGTGGACGTGGCAATGCTGACTCACCCTAGTGGACGTGGCAATGCTGACTCACCCTGGTGGACGTGGCAATGCCGCTCATGCGCTGCATGAAGTTGAGTGCCACGCGCTCGCCCTGCAGGATGGCATGTGCCGACCCTGCACGTGGTGGGGTAACGCGAGGGGTGGGGGGAGAGGATGGCTTTCCATCTTCACCTCGCCCTTCTTCACCGTGTCTCCATCTTCCCATCTCGTGCCATACCTCCCTGCTTCCAACATGCACTGAGCAGCCCACATTGCAATATGAGCCCCTCCCCCCCAGCAGCCCAGCAGCCCAGCAGCCCAGCAGCCCAGCAGCCCAGCAGCCCAGCAGCCCAGCAGCCCAGCAGCCCAGCAGCCCAGCAGCCCAGCAGCCCAGCAGCCCAGCAGCCCAGCAGCCCAGCAGCCCAGCAGCCCAGCAGCCCAGCAGCCCGGCAGCCCAGCAGCCCAGCAGCCCAGCAGCCCAGCAGCCCAGCAGCCCGGCAGCCCAGCAGCCCAGCAGCCCAGCAGCCCAGCAGCCCGGCAGCCCAGCAGCCCGGCAGCCCACCTGCCAGCACCCTACCAGTTGAGCGAGCTCACCTTGCACCGTGGCAAACACCTCTCCCTTCTCCACCGTGTCCCCATCTTCCTTGCTCCACTCCACCTGCTCACATGCGACATGCCGCGTGCAGCAGACGATCAACATGCATGTGACATCCATAGCACACATGCAATACCATTCCGATGCGCCTATTCAGTGACGATACGCATTGCAGTAACTACAGACAGAGTTGTCAGTAGGCAAAGTGATCCAAATCCGCATGCAATAAAAAAATAAACGCACAGTACACACTTCGATCCACTATGCAATTCAGCACTTGACAACGGCCGTGGCGAGCGCAGTGCCAGCCAACACGCCCCTTGCACATCATCCCCTTCACCTCTCACCCCACCCTCCCCTTGGCCTCGCTCACCTGAATGCTCGGCTCCAGCAGTCGGAACACAGCAGTGGCGAGTGCAGTGCCAGCCAGCACGCCCCCCTCCTTTGCCAGGCACCCATTCAAACCCACCCCTTCACCTCACCCACCCCTTCACTTGGCCTCTCGGACCTGTACGCTTGAAAAACACTTCCCAGCAGTCGAAAAACAGCCGTAGTAGCGAGTGCAGTACAAGCCAGCACGCCGCCCCGATTCGCCAGGAACCGACCCACCTTTAAATGCTGCGTCCCCCCCCCACCTCAACCCCTTGCCCTCTCCCACCTGAATGCTGGGCTCAAGCAGTCGGAACACGGCGGTGGCGAGGGCAGTGCCCGCCAGGACGCCCCCCTCCTTCGCCAGGAACTGAGCGCTCGCCTGCGTGCCCGCTGGGATGGTCGCCAGACTCGTGACGTCCCCTGGAGAGGGCGGGAGAGGGGGGAGGGGACGAGACAGGAAGGAAGGGTAAGTTGTGTGCCCGCCAACACGCCCTCCTCTTTCGCGCTCGCCTGCGTGCCCGCTGGGATGGTCGCCAGGCTTGTTGTGACGTCCCCTGGTGGGATGAGAGGGGTGGGAGAGAGATGGGAGGAGAAGAGACAGCGGGGGGACGAGACGGGAGAGGGGTGGGGAGCGAGGGTATGCTTGTGATGTGACGTTCCCTGGAGGCGATGAGGGGAGTGCGGGGGAAGGGAGGAGGGGGAGACGAGACAGGAAGGGTGGGAAGGAAGGGTATACTTCTGTGCCTGAAATCAGTCAGTGGCGATGCAGAAATCGGTTGCCACATACCAATATCACACATCCTTTCACCTTGAAAGAGTGCCTGAACTGCACTCGCAGGGCAGAAATGATTGTGAGGTGAGGATATCTCACTCGAGCTCTCGTTTGCGCAATTCTGGCCCCCAACCCGCACGCCCTCCTGTACCCCACTCCCTCCTGTCACTCGCGCACTCGTCCTTACTACTGCGCACTCCTCTCCCCCACGCACCAAGAACACCGGCGCCATCGTCCAGAGCAGCTTTACCACCCTCATGACGTCACACGTGTGTAAGAAATCACATGAAGTAACACATGAGTGAACGATTGCCTGCGCTCGCAGGAAGGATTTTTTTTTTAGGAGGACATTTCACTCACCCACTCGACCCTAATACGCCCATCTGTCAACCACGCACCGAGATTGCCTGCGTCTTCGTCCAGAGCGGCTTTCACGGCCATCATCACGTCACACGTGGGATGCGGGGGAGGCGGGATGCGCATAGTCACTCCCTCCATAGTCACAGATCCGTTGACCGGCGCGGCTGCAGCAGATGCCGAGGCAGAAGCAGCAGCAGGAGGCGCGGCTCGAGAGAAGGTAACAGGAAGGTGCATCCGCCTGCACATTCAGAATCAGCGTATCAAAGGGAAGAGATACTTTTGCGACGCCTCAAAAGGCAACAGAAGCGGCGTGTTTTGAGAGAGGAAGCAGCGGGTAGGGTAGATCGTGGCAAGGGAAAAGGAAAGTGGGTTTGCTTGCCGGCGGCGGCCGAGACCCGGCTGGATTCTCCCACATGAAGACACAAGATCCCATTTTCAGTCGTCAACAGATAGGAACGTATCACGAGAAAGATGCGCGAAAATAGAAGCAGGCACGATTGAAAGAGCCAGGCACGAGGGCCGAGAGAGTCACGACCCGCGAACTAAATAGCCATAAATGCACGAGGCACGAGGGAAAGTGGCAGATATGTCGAGAGACGCGCGACTAGACACGATCGCCAAGACCTAGAAAGTGCACCCGCGATCCTCTATAGCTCCGCTAATCTCGCGCGCACGCGCACAGTCACTAAGAAGCATCTCTTCTTCCTACGACTATGTTTAGGCGCCTCGAGAAGAGATCCTCGCTAACTTAGAGGATGTCGCGCATTCGCACGGTCACTACGAAGCCCAGAATGGCTGGCAGTGGTGCCGTGTCATGCGGCGGCTGCCTGCATGCACGTACGAGCAAGACATTTCTACAAAATTATTCTAACCTGTAAAGCCGAGCGTGCGCTGTTCCGCCTGTCAGCGACAACGACGACGGATCGCGGTTAGCGGAAAGCGACCGGCGATCGCGCTGGCTACGCCCTTGCAGCAAGCTGGCGGCGATTGAGCCGCCTGAGAGCCTCGTAAGGGCTGCCATTTCTAGAGAAGTTGTGCAGCAAACTGCACGTAGTTCGCGGTGCGAGAGACTCCACTATTTCAGTATTTTACTATTTCCGTCGTGCGATAAGCAACCTCGAAAACCACGTATACTAACGAAATTGCTGTACTTGCCAAAGGCTTTATGGAAGAGCTCATTTTATTATTCCTATCCATCAGCTTCAACAACTATTTTTCACACCCATACGAGTGTTTCTTTTGCATCAGTACATCTACACTACAATCACACAGAACACAAGTATTAAAACTTGACTTCCACCATCCCTTGCCATGGAACGAGCTCTTCTTGCCCAGCCCCTTCTTAGTGAACGATACAGAAAAGAAAAGCACATCCACATAACATTTCGCACACGCCATTTCAGTTGCAGCACTGTACTAAACACTACTTCACTCAGACACGCCGAGCCACTTGGTGAAGTTTTCGAATTCGAGGTAGTCCGAGTCTGAAATCATGGTCTGGTACCACGCCTCTCCCGCCTTCTTGGCCTCCTCCGTCTGCTCACACACACACATTCCCACGCCAGAATACGCACCAGAAAAACGTTCCAGGGAAGGGACAGAAGGGAACGAAGGTTTGTGGAAGTGAATGATAGGAACAGACCTGTGACCCAACACAAAGCAAATTGACCTCAAACTAAACTCAACTTGCTCCCAGTCAACCAAGACAACCCAGTCAACCCACTCAGCTCAGTCAGCCCAAGTCAACCAAGTCGACCCAGCCAACCACTCACCTCGCGAGCCGTTTTGGCGACAGCAAGCTGCTTGAACTTGTCCCAGTCAACCCAAGTCAACCCAGTCAACCCAAGTCAACCCAGTCAACCCAAGTCAACCCAGTCAACCCAAGTAAACTCAAGCCAACCACGCACCTCGCGGGCCTTCTTGGCCTTGGGCTGGCCAGCAGCCTCGGCGAGCTGCTTGCGCTTGTCGGCGGCGAAGGGGTTGAGCACGGCCATGGCGGTGCGGTTCTTCAGCGGGTTGCGCTTCAGACGGTGCAGCGGCTTCGGCGCCGCCCTCTTCGGCCGGCACACACTCTGCAAGGTGGATGGGGGGTGGGGGGGGGGGGGGGGGGGGAGGGGGAGGGCAGGGGAAAGGGAGACGGGCCGGACAGCACATCAGGAAAGGCAGGGGCAGCCTCGGTCCTTGGCTAGCAGACTCATCGTTGTGGAGTGGAGTCAGGGGTACGGGGAGCAAGGGAGGTGGAGAGCAGGCAGGGAGCAGCAGGAGGGGTTGAGCACGGCCATGGCGGTGCGGTTCTTCAGCGGGTTGCGCTTCAGACGGTGCAGCGGCTTGGGCGCCGCCCTCTTGGGCCGGCACACACTCTGGAGGGGGGGAGAGAGATGGAGGAGGTAGGGGGGAGACAGAGGGGTTAGAAAGGGTGAAGTGGTGGTAAGTGGATGGGTTGCGCTTCAGGCGGTGCAGCGGCTTTGGCGCGCCGCCTTCTTCGGCCGGCACACACTCTGAAGGGAAGCGGAAAGGTGGGAGGGGGAGGGAGGAGGGGGGGGGAAGGGCACTGGGATAAGGCAGTTGTGGTCACTGTTTTTGCGAACAGAGGCGCGGGTGTGGAGTGGGGGGAGGAGGGTGGAAGTGGGTGGAGGGCAGGGGGGCAGCAGGAGGGATTAGAAACGGCGAGGCAGAAGCAAATGGAATGCGGTTGAGATGGTGCCGTGATGGGCGAGCGAAGTTGGCGTGGGAAGAAGGACCGGAAGCGGCACAGGAGCAGAGTGACGCCCGGGGAGGGTGGGACGCGGGCGGAGTGGGGCGCGGGGCGAGTGAGGCGCGGGGAGAGGGAAGCATGAGCGGGGGGAGGCGGAGGGAGGGGTCTGTGCAAATAATCTTAAAGGCACGTCAGACTTCATTGGCTGAGGGAACAAGAAAAAATCAGCCTTTTCCAGACAAAGACTGTTCCCCCTTCTTCCCTCGCACTCCGCCCACGTGCACTTCATCGCTGTTGATGATGTACGTGATGTCGGCATTGACAATGGCGCCTGCAGCCCTAAACGACCCGAACAACCCCTCCCCCCCACGCGCCTAACCATAACCCCGTCTGGCCCGCCTCGCCCCTACCCTTCCCCCCCCCTTTTCCCTTCCCTCCGCCCACCTGCACTTCGTCGCTGTTAACAATGGCGCCAACGACCCCAACAGCCCTGCCCCCGCTCGTCACTACTCACCCCTCCGCTCTACCCCCCTACGCCCCCCTCCCCTTCCTCCTCCCCCCCCACCCCCCTTCCTCCTCCCCCCCCCACCCCCCTTCCTCCTCCCCCCCCACCCCCCTTCCTCCTCCCCCCCACCCCCCTTCCTCCTCCCCCCCCACCCCCCTTCCTCCTCCCCCCCACCCCCCTTCCTCCCCCCCCGCCTCCTTCCCCTGCCTCTCTGCCCACCTGCACTTCGTCGCTGTTGATGATGCGCGTGATGTCGGAGTTGACAATGGCGGCGCGCGGCAGCAGGAAGTCGCGCTTCATGGTGGGCGCCTGCGAGAACGACCCGAAGAGCCCCTCCAGCTTGTCGAACGCGCTCTGCGTCCAGATCACGAAGCGCCCCACGCGGCCGCCGGGCGCCAGGTCGAGCACGCTCAGCTTCTCGACTGCGACCACCTGCAGAGCGGAGAGCGGGATGGGGGAGCGGAGGGCGGGATGGGGGAGCGGAGGGCGGGATGGGGGAACGGAGTGAAAAAAGGAGGGAGGAGGAGGGGAAAAGGGGGAGTGGGGGAAGGAGGCGAGATGAGGACGAGACGAGGGAAGGGCAAGAGATATAAGACAATTGCACATCGCCCTTGCTGCGCGCACCTACTGACCCTCTCACCCGCACATCAGCTCTTCCGCGCACCTGCACGCCGGGGATGTTGCGGAAGGCCTTGGTGAGCTTGGCGCCGTCGGTGCCGTACACGATGAGCGGGCCCTTCTTGCTCAGGTACCGCCGGTTGCGCATCTTGCCCTTGCCAGGCCGGATCTTCTTCGTCGCGATCACCTTCGCCACGTCATCGTACGCGCCGATGCGCTTCAGCGCCTTCAGCGCGGAGGAAGTCTTGTCGACCGACTCGATCTCGTTGCCCACCACCAGCGGCAGCTCCGGCGCCTGATGCGCGCGGGGACAAAGGGGGGAGGAGGGGGAGCGGGAGAAGGGGGGCGGGGGGAGGGGGGAAGAGGGGCGTGGGGGGGGGGGAGAAAGGGAGGGAGAGGGGTGGGTTGGAGGGGGGACAGGGGGTAGAGGGGAAATGAGGGAAACGTACGAATAAAGGGGGCAGGGGGTGGAGGGAGGACAGGGGGATAGGGGGGGGAAGGGGACAGAGGGGGAGGGAGGATGGAGGGACAGGTATGAAAAGGCGGGCGACGGGGATACAGGGACAGGGAATGACGAGGGGGTGGAGTGTGCGGGGGGGGAGGGAGAGAAGCGACGGTGGAAAAGCGGGGAGTATGGTGGAAAGAGGGACAGGGCGAGATGAAAGGGAGGGGAAGGGGAAGAGCGAAGAAGCATGGGGAAGCAAACGGGTCGGCAAAATGGGCCGTATTGGGTGATACGCCATCTACGTCACCGCGTACCTTGCTGACGGCGTGGCCGTGCGCCTGCACGAGCGCGGGCACGGCGGAGGCGGCAATGGCGGAGGCGACCGCATGGCGGCGCATCTTGATGGGGACCTGCGCGGGCACGGGGGAAGGGGGGAATGGGGGTACCAGGGAAGGGGACACGGGGTTGCAAATGTTAGAGCCGTGTCGACGTTAAGATGAACACATGAAGAAACGAATGTTGACATAGGTTTTGATTCGATTGAGAAACTACTCGACGGAAAACGCGCGACTTGCTAGGGCCGACAAATTCTTCTGCCGGCCTGACGGGAAATGCTAGCAGGGCATGAACACGCTGGTCGACAGCTTACGCTAGCGTGCTGATAATCGATACCAGTGCAACCAACGAGTTGGTCGCATGAGCATCCAACATCCAACCGCACGCAGACTACATGGGATAGTGAAGATTAGGTCATGGTTTAGGTCGGGCTAGATGATAGCTCGGATCGGCGTATGACGACTCTCGCCTTGCACGTGACGCGCATTCCGCGCATCCAGAAAGGAGGACGTAACCCGCATGGGCGGGCGGAATCTAGCCACGTGGCAACCACGGGGCAAAATCTACCGTCCCATGCTTGATTCCAACCGTTCAGGACGAAGCTAAGACCGAGAGGCCTCGACGGTAGCACTCCCTGAAAGCCCTCAGTCTGAGCATATCTAAAGGTGCTACAGGATTTCAGCATCGCTTGTACCGCGTCAACAGACATGCTTCGTGCGTTTGATGTAACGACGTCCTGCGACTCTCGTTGGACTCCGACCAACCTAAAACTAGCCCAGATTCCAGATACTTGTAGCTCGAGAAACCTAGCGCGGTCGGACGCCCAAAATCGCTAAGTAGGAGTAACGGTCCTAGAAATGAGGAATTCCCCTGCTTCACTAACTCGTGCGAGCCTAATGTAGACAGCACTGAACAAAAGGTTTCCCTGTGATATCGGTACATCTGCTATAGCGGGAAAGGGTCAGAATGTCCACCTTGCGGTGCCAGCGGCGCCAGATGCGGAGCGGCGCGAACAGGTGACCGCCGCGGCACATGTTACCGAAGGCTCCTTGTCCCGCGCGGTGGGTACCGCCGCCGGGAACGCGGGGAATACGCGACACGGCGCGACCGGTACCCCAGGACTCGGCGGACGTCTGGTGACCGGCCTTGGTGCTGACGGCGTACGGCTGGCGCTTGTTCATCGAAACCATCGCGTGCACGAACTTAACGACATCGCTGCGGATCGGCGCGAGGAACACCGCGGGAAGCGCCGCCTGCTGCGGCGCGCCGGCCTCGTCGTACGGCTGAACTGTCACGAGCGGACGAGCCGCTGCTGTCGCCATCGCTGCTGCTGGGTATTCTAGTGCGGGTGGCTGGGTGCGCGATTGTGACGTTGCTGCTAAGTGCTACCCTACTCGGTCCCACTCCGCGAGAGAAGGGAAGGAAAGAGAGACTCAAAGCAGCGAGGAGCAGATTTGAGTTAGGGTTGAGTTGAGGGCGAGAAGGGGGAACGGGGAAGGGAAGGGGGAAGGAGTGAGAGAAGGAAGGGGGAAAGAGGAGGGGGGAGAGGGAATCGGGGAAAACGTGGCGGATGGCGGAAGAAAGCGTGGGGGGGAATTCGCGGACATGGAAACGACAGGAGTTTTTTTTTTTTTTTTTTTTTTTTTTTTTTTTGAAATGTAACTATATTATCAAACATAGATACATCCACAGTCGTAACTGTATACCTGGAGGGCCTATGCTACACCACAATGAGATGTCGCATATCCCCCCTTGGAGGTCTATGGTGGCTGGTGGCATGTGCGCGGGTTGTGCCAGATGGACAGAAATTGACCCGACCAGCATGCAGGACCATCCACGTTGCAGATTCCCTGCAGTTGTTCCCTCTCATCCTTTGCCACATGTCGCCATCTATCTGTTCTCATACCGCAAGCCACCTCACCCGTGGCCTTGCCTCTCCCGCGTGCTGCCAGCACCACCCTCGCATGTGTCATAAAATCCAGCACCGCACCGCGACCCACTTTCTTCCGCTCGAAAACTTCAGCCCTCCAAACTGTATTGCATCTTGCCAGCCAAATCTGTCGCAGCACCGCCGCCGTCAACGTCATCTCCGGGAAACCTGACGCTGTCCCCCCTTCCCCAAACAGCAAATCACCCAGCGAGTCCACCTGTCTGACCGGATTCAGCATGCGCAAGGAGCGCTTAAGCGCGCCAATCACTGGCTGAATGACCGGGCAACTGTAGAGACAGTGGGCCAGGGTTTCCTCCTCCCCACAGTGCGCGCAGCTGATCCTGTTCTGGAAAAAATCCAACCTCCCCCCCACCTGGAGGTTCTTGCTGTGTATCCGGAGCAGCACATCCCTCGCCTTGAGTGGGACGCTGATAGAATCCCGTGTATCGATCGCCCTTTTCCAGTCAATCTTCTTGCCCCACGCCACTTCCCACTCCGCCTGCCTCCATGACCGCCCCACCGCTTTGGTGAGCGTCGCCCGTATCTTACACAGAGGCGCCAGTCCTCCCTCATCGAACAGCCCACAGCAGGTCAGCAGCTTCACTTTCGGGTCACCCGCCGGTCCCAGCAGCCTTCCCTCTTGGACGATTAACGGCTGCAGATTACACGCTTCGAAACAGGTCTCCCTGTTCCTTGCCGGGGCGAGAAGCGTTCCACCCTCGCCGACCTCCATGTATGAGGCAAGGATTCCCCCCTTGTCTAAACCCTTCACTGCCCACGGAGGCCCTGTAAGCTCGCCCCGAAAGATGAACTTCACCACCCCTGACGCCGCCACCACTGCCTCTGGTGTCACTGGCTCCTCGACCAGCTTCTTCCACTCCGGTGGCGTGGCCACATACGCTTTGCGTGCCATGACCGCCGCCTCCTTGGATCCCAGCTCCACCGTTAGTACCGCTTCATCCTTCAGCACCCTGCTACCCCTCAAGCCGTCGGTAAGCAAGTCACGTAACCGCGTGCAGAGGAGACTCTCCGTGCCCAACTGATGACCAAAGGGGCTATTTCCTCTGTGCATGATGTGCCGGTTGAAACAGATGAACTGTCCCTCCACCTCCCATCTATTCGCAGGTTCCGGCAGGGACGCAAGGGGCGACTTCCAGAAGACTTTGACCGCCGCCTTCCATCTCTCACTCCCATGCTCCCACCGTTTAATCGCAGACGGATGTGCGTGAAGCGTCGCCCACCCTTGTGGGAAACTCGCCGCCTTCTCCGCCAACCACCGTCGCGCTCCATTTTGTTCACCCAGAAGCTTGCCTATTCTGCGGATAGCCAGCCCGTCGAGGCAGAGCTTCGGGTCCAGTTGGCCCAATCCCCCATCTTTCCACGGGAGGCAAGCCAGATATGCACTCCAGAGAATGAAAACCTTTTCCTCCACTGCCTCCCCCGCCGAGACGAAGGCATGACAGAGCTTTCTTATCTTCTCCCACAGCTCGTCTGGCGGCGAGTACACCTGCGCCTGAAACATTAGCACCGGAAGGAGATAGCAGCTGATGACCGCTACCCTCGCCGTCGTCGTGAGGTACTGCGACTCCCACTTTTTAAGCTCCTCCTTTATCCTCTCATAAGCCCTCTCCCAGGACGGGCCAGCGTCACCACTTGGCGTTATCCACACACCCAAGAGGCGTTCCGGCTCGCCCCTCTCCGACCACTTGTATGGTATGCCTGTCGGTGCCGTGGTGCCTCTGTTACTCCCCAACGGTACCACCACGGACTTGTCGCAATTCACCTTCAACCCCGACTGTTTGCCGAAAGTGTCTAACACCCCCACCACCTTCCGCAGCTGTTCCTCCCCTTCCAGCAGGAACGATGTATCATCCGCATAGCCCACATAGGAGATCGGTGTCTCACCAGGCGGGCCCACCCCCAAACCTCTGCGCAGTGTCTCTCTGCAAAGCGGCTCCAGTGCACACAGGAATAAATAAGGCGCCAGAGGGCACCCCTGCCTGACCCCTCTGTCCATCTCCACTCTGTCACTTAACCACCCGTTGACTATCACCCTTGTACCTGCTCCTGCATGCAGGCCCTTGGTCCAGCCGATGACCCTGTCCGGGAACCCAAGCTCCTTCATAACCCTGAACAAGAAAACCCGTGACACCGTGTCATACGCTTTCTGGAAATCGACGAGCAGCAGCAACCAGTCATTACCGCCCCCGTTCGCCGCCTCCACCGCGTCCGCAACCACTGACACTGCGTCAGCCAAGCTTTTTCCAGGTAAGAACCCATGCTGCTCCTTAGACAGCACCTTGCCCAGCACCTTCTTTAACCTTGAAGCCATGATTTTGGTGACGAGCTTGTACATGACCGATAGCAGAGTGATAGGCCGGTAATTACCCAGACTGTCCACCGGACCTTTTTTATGCAGCAGCACCGTCACAGCCGTTGATAATCCTTCCGACATCCTCGCCGTGTTCGTGAAATCTCTAATGAACTCCATCACGTGTTCCTTGAGCAGATCCCAATGCAGGATGAAATATTCCGCCGGGAGACCGTCTTGACCAGGGGACTTCCCCTTCGGCAGGCACTCCAAACCCTCTTTGACCTCCGCTTCCGTCCAGTCCGCGCCTAACATATCCGCATCCGCGGGCGACATCCTCGCTCCCTCCGAGAACCGTCCCCAATCCACTTCCTCCTCCGGCACCACCTCCCTGAAGGCAGTCCTAAAATGCTCCGCCGCCGCTCGCAGAACCTCCTTGGTCCCTCGGAAGGTCCTTCCCCCATGCGTGATTTCTTGTATCGACGTTCGTTTTTTCCGCATCTTGATCTTCGCCGACAGGTAGGGTGACGGGACCTCCCTGTTCAGCTCCACCCGGATGCCCGCCAGCACTTGCAGTCTGTCTCTACTGCTCCGCAGGTAGGCCTCCAGGTGCGCCTCTTTACAGACCAGCCTGTTCTGCGCCCTTTTGTCACCCGGGTGTCTCATCACCTTGTGCCGAAGGAACTCAACCACCCGCTCAAGGTGAGTAACCGTTGCTCTCACCCTTTTTCTTTCCTCTCTCGTATACTCCTTAAGGCCGACACTGAGTAACTTCAGCTTCTTCCCCAGGTCAACCCCTTCCTCTTTTTCCAGCTTCCTCAGGATGCTTGCAGTCACTGTACTAACCCCTCTCCGTCGTGCTTGCCTCGCCTGCATCCTCCACAGACCCGGACCCTGCTCTACCAGTGCGTTAACCGCCAGCCCGACCTTAATCCCAAACCAGTGATCAGTCAAGCTCCTTGGTACTTTTATGTGCTTCGCCTCCGCCAGCAACCCCAGCAACGAGAAGGAGACCAACCCCCTGTCGATGCGCGTGCTCGCCCCAGTCGCCCTGTCACGGAAGGTGTATTCCGGTCTGGTTGGGTGCAGCGCTCGGAAGGCATCCCTGAGATCCGCCGTCCGCCAGAAGCTCAGAAGTCTCTGATTTTCATTGCCCGAGCCCGATCGTGATGACCGGTCCAGATCCGGATCCTCTACCAAGTTCAGATCCCCCATCACTACTAGGTGAGTCGACGGCGGCTGTGCATCGACGAACTGCGCCAGACAGCTCCGAAAAAACACCCCCCTAGCACACGCTTGCGCAGGAAGGTACATCGCCACCAGCCTGAAAGAGACCTGTGAGTACTCCACTGTGACCCCTACCAGTCTCCCCGATTGATGAGTGATTACGTCCGTGAGCTTGACCTCTTCGTTGAAGGCTAATACCGCAACCCCACCTGCTCTTTCACTATTTCCCACCACCGCCGCTGATGACGGTTTCAGCTGGGTCCAGAAGTTATGATCTTCTCCTATCCTTGTGTCTGTGAGCACCGCGACATCTGCCGCTGTTTTAATCCAATGTGCATGCTCCGTTCTTTTGCCGTTACTTCCGAGGCCGTTGACATTGACCTCGCACAGTGTGAGATTTCGGTTGTTATCCATTAATCCACTGGTCAAAGACCCCCTCGCATCCACGGGGTTGAGATAGAGACACCACTCCTACCAACAACTGCTCTTGCGTAACAGGTACCGCACCACACTCCTTCCGTCCCCATCCTTTATTGCTCCACCGTACTTTATTTCCTTGACCGCCTCTGATACACCTGCATGGAAACGCGCACTTCACTTCTGCAGCCCAAACTCCTTGCGGACCGGGATCAAATTCATCTTCCCCCGGCTTCTCCTGCTTGCCGAACCCCCTTGCAGAAGCGCGGTGCAGTGCTGGACCGATTTCACATGCACCAACGCCTGGGAGAAACTGGAGCCGTGCACCTTCCCACACGCCTCCTGGACACACAGCCAGTCTTCCCGGCTTCCCCCCGTGGAGATCAGCACCAAGGCGGGGTCGCGCAGAATCTTCTTCACACGAGCGTCGAGTGGAAGGGACGCAGCTGCTCACGCAGGAAACGATGCGGCTGTCAGCGAACCCGAGCGGGACCCCGACAGCCTGAAAAACAAGGTTAGAGCACCACTTGTTACCATTAATCGCATGCAGTCGCTCCAGCGTCAGATTCCACTTTCCGATATTCTCCTGACGTTCCGTAACATAATCATCATGGAACTTTGTCATGTGCATGCCGTTGCAGAAATCACAGGAAAGCGATGGAAAATGGACAAGAAGCTGCCTGTGGTGCACCGAGTCAGTCAGCAGGTGCCACCAGCGATACTTATCCCCCGGGTGGCCTTTGACCAAGCCCCTGATCTTGTCTGTGTCCGCACCAGTAACCGGATCAACCACCCGGTGGAAAGCCGAACCACTCAAGAAGGGGGTTCTGCCACGCTTCTCCAGCACCGCCGTCACCAGGTACTCATAAACCATCTCCGGCGTTATGGCGGCAGGCACACTCTTTAGGAGCACTTCGACCGAGTCTGGGTGCTTCGCGCGTTCCATGATGTACAGCGGGTTTTCTGGGTGCTGCCAGTCAAGGGTGATGCCAACACCGTTCAACATCTTGTGCTCAACCCTGCGGCACCACGCGTAGTTCGCGTCCGACGCCTGCTGAAAGGTAACTTGCAGCCGTCCGTAACGCTTCTTTGACAACCACGCCGGTAAGAGCACTTGACACTTCGTCGTTGTCAGCACATGCGCCGACATATACTTTCTCCAGAGCGCCAGCAGACCCTTAACCGTGTCAATAGTCCGCTCCACCTCCTCTTCGTACTTGATCGGGATCAGCAGCGTGATTGAAAAGCCAGCACGCGCGGCGATCTCCCCCGCCTTCACGGGGTCAAAACGTTCCTCCGGGTCATCACTGAGGTACCCGTCATCCTCATCCTCCTCTTCTTCTTCCCCTTCAGCAGGAACCTCTAAAGCTACGGCCGGGGACGACACCTCATCCGTGTTCTTCTTCTCCTCCCCTGCTTCAGTAGACCCCTCCGCAGTGCGATCCTCCAGGGACGAGAACTTCAAATCATTCAACTTCTTCACCAGCGAGATGCGCGTTTCATCCGCGAAAGGGCCTCCCACTTCCTTCAGCATCGGACGAGGCGTCGCTGGCTCCAAATGGTGACTCGTGGACGCGGACTCGCGAACACCATTATCCGTGGGCTTGCTCACTGGCTGAGCAGCTTTCTTCGGCTGGCGCGGCATGGTGCAATGATGACAACTGCCAAAGTTGTAACCAGAAATTCGTGATGGGAAAGGTCCCGCTGGACTTGACTGGCTAGTTCTGAGCACCGACTTCTTATAAGCACGCCGTTTAGGCCTCGCCTTTTTCCTTGGATGCTTTTTCTTGGGAGTCCTGCTCTTGGTAGAAAGGCGACCCTTGGTAGTTGGATTCCGAGATGAAACCTTAGCTTGAACCTCGGTAATGCACTGCGCTGGACATGTCAACCTCGAGACGCAAGCCTGGCAATCAAACCTAGATACTGTCAACGGCGGGAAATGGTAGCCTGACAATGAACCATAGAATACCATGCTCTCCATTTGAGCACAAAATTAGTATCCTTGTGTTCCTCTTGTCATGTAGAATCCAAATCCGTTATTAAATATAGTATCTGGTAAGAAATTGATAGACATTGGTCCAGTTAAAGTAGCCTGACAATATCCATGGCGGGTATGTTAAAGAAATTGTATTGTATGCTTCAGGTCAATCCTTCGAAACGACAGGAGTGTGTAAGAGAGGGAGGAGGGGAAGGAGTCGGGGACTGGTGACAGGGGGGAACGTCAAGGCGGCGGGGAAAGGTAAATTCTGGTTATTGCTCCTCATGCCTTTTCGCCTCGAAGGCCATGGTGGTTAGCCACCAGAAAAGTGCTGTGTTCGCTTACTCGATACAAGCCCACATGCCTTGTCATTGCCCAAGTGTAAGGAACTTCTCAATTTCCTTACATCGCACTTGGCTTCACCACATACAACACTGTTCGCGAGCTCGAAGTCCGAACCCTTCGCTACCTAGGACGCACCAGGCCTCAAACCGTAGTCTATGTACTGGACTTGGACATCCCTGACTGCAGCGGCGACACATATCATCTACTCGATCTAATGTTACAGATGCGAAAGACCCACTTGGCTGTTCGGATACGTTTGTCATGAGCGAGGAACAAACTTTTGCGTGCCCCGTCGATGCAAGGATCCGGCTTCGGCATTCCGGCTTGCAATTCTTGCGGTCGGACCCTTGCAGAGTTTGTTAAACAGTTGTTAGTTAAAGGGGAGTTGGAAGTTGGCAAAATGCGACAGCGAGTCCAATTATGCAGGTCATGTTTCCGTAGATATGATTTTCGAAAGCCTTTTGACATCACGTGCGCTGGTAATTTTGATGACGTCGTCATCGCCGCCGTCGTCGTTGCCATCGTTGTGGCGAACGGTGTTGCGACAGATGTCGCGGTCAGACACTTCTTTCATGGGTATGTGGTTTTCTTTGCTCGCATAATCGTAGGCCACGCGTGTAGTGTCATCAGGATTAGGTTGGGAAACCGGGAAGAATGTCGAAGTTCGTAGCGCGCATGTAAGGGGAATGCTTGGATAATGTTAGTTGGGTTTGCAGTAGGGCGCGTCATCGGACACGTCGGCCTCGTCGAGTGAGGTGGCAAAGCCATGCTGGCCCATGAAGATGGCTTCAGGTTCTTTCTAAGCATTGTGGTGCTGTCGTAAAAGATGCAGTTGCGTGACTTTGTCAGCTCGTGCGTCGCTAATCCACGATAGCCCAATCATTGAACCCCTTCGAAATTCAAGGTAAATTTCTTAGCGTCCACGGTCCTCAAAATTTCGGGTTCGAGCAGTGTGGGGCCGGTACTATACCATGCAGCCGGCGAGTGTAACCAGTTATGCCCCTCCATGCCTTGTAGGGAGAGGTGTTTCTTAGAAGACTTTGGGATGACAACATGTTGTGTAGTCACACAAGATGGTTCATTGCGTACGGCCAATATATTGTTGGCACCTCAAACTGCTTCATGAGGGCGCACGTCTTTCTTGCGAGCTTCTGTTCGCCTTCTTGGGCCAGTGGGGTGACGGAGCTAGCAGGGCGACAGTGCTAGCGGTGCGACGGGCTAGCGGGGCGACTGGGCTAGCGGGGCGACGGGGCTAACGAGACGACGGGGCGAGCAGGGCCAGCGGGGCCAGCGGGGCGACGAGCTAGCGGGGCGTCGGGGCCAGCAGAGGTCTACGGGGCCTATGGGGCGCGACTAGAGAGCCGCGGGCGTTAGGTGCCAAGGGGCTGACGGGGCGCTAGAGAGGGCCACGGGGTGCTAGGGGTGGTCAACGGGGCGCTAAGTGGTCGCATGGAGCTAGGTGACACGAGGTAGGTAGGAAGGCCGAAGCGTTGACCTAACCTAACGATGATACCATCGTTAAGGATTAGGATGGTTAAGCAAATCGACATGTCCTTGGTTGTGAGTTGTACAAATGTAAATAGAGATGAAGAATTCAGCTTGCTGTCGGGGCTGGCCACCCGAATCGGCATTCCTAGTCGCATTTCTAAATGGTAAAATACACTAGTGGTACATGCAAAAATAGATTCATAGGAATGAGAGAGTTGCGCGTGTAGTTGCCCTTATAAACTTTCCCTTAAAGCCCTGTACCTGATTTACTCAACGGAAGTCAACGCCAAATTTTCGTGGTTTGGAAGGCAGGCACTCGGAGGTTCAGTTGGGTTGCGAAACCCTTCCCACTCGCGAAACCAGATTGTGACAAAATTGTGCTTGCTTCAAAGAAACCGAATGATCGGTGGGTTGCTTCCCGCGATGAGATTTGGTGCCGAAATGCAGGTTTTAAGGAGCTGTTGCGTAAAATCGTATCCCCACCCCCTCAACCAGGCGTGACCCTCCCTCCGCCCTCACTTTCCTTTCCCATGTCACGCGCTTTCCCTTTCCGTCGCCCGCGTCGTCGCCTTTGCTTCCTCAGCCCATCGCCTTCGCTTCCCCAGCCCGTCGCCTTCGCTCCGCACGTCGCCTTCGTATCCCCCGCCCGTCGCTTTCACTTCCTTCGCGTATCGCATTTGCTTCCCCGTCCCGTCCCTTTTGCTTCTTCCGCGCGTCGTCTTCGCTTCCCCCACCTGTCGCTTTCGCTTGCTCCGCCCGTCGCCTTCGCTTCCCCAGCCCGTCGCCATCGCTTCTTTCTCCCGTCGCCCTCGCTTCCCCCGCCCGTAGCCCTTGCTTCCTCTCCTGTTGCCCTCACTTCCCCAGCCTGTCGCCTTCGCTTCCCCCTCCCGTCGCCCTCACTTCCCCCGCCCGTAGCCCTCGCTTCCCCTCCCGTCGCCCTCGCTTCCCCTCCTGCTGACCTCGCTTCCCCTCCCCTCGCCCTCGCTTCCTCCGCCCGTCGCCGGAGAAAGGGGGAAAGCAATGAAGACGGCCGGCGATGGGGAAAGGGGGATGCGAGGGCGACAGGGAGGGAAAGCGACGTCTTTGCGCCTTCCTACCACGAGGGGAAGCGAGTGCGATTATGAAACGGTGGTGACGTTGGGTGTAAGCGTGGTGTCAAACTTATATGCTGGTTATTGTGTAGGCTGTAGTGGGGTAGCCCATATGGGGTACAACCCAATTAGGGTTTCCTACTTGTACCCATCTTGCTGCTAGTTCATTCATTCCTCGTTCGTTCTTCTGACATGGTTTCAGAGCAGGTCCTAGCCTAGGACCGAATATTTTTTTTAGGGCCCACCGAACCGCGCTACCCCACAAGTCGCGCTTGTTAGTTCCGCGCCGCCCTGCCCTGCCCTGCCCTGCGTTGCGCTGCCGCGCACGCCCTGCCCTGCCCTGCCCGCGCGCAGCTCGCCGCCGCGCGCACTGCCCTGCCCGCGCGCTGCCCTCTGCCGCGCCGCGCGCCCTGCCTGCGCGCTGCTCGCCGCCGCGCCGCGCGCCCTGCCTACGCGCCGCTCGCCGCCGCGCCGCTCGCCCTGCCTGCGCGCCCTGCCTGCGCGCCGCCGCGCCGCTTCCCCTGCCCGCGCGCCGCCGCCGCGCGCCCTGCCCTGCCCGCGCGCCGGCGCTGCGCGCCCTGCCCTGCCCACGCGCCGCCCGCCGCCGGCCCTGCCCTGCCATCGCGCCGCCAGCAGCCGCGCGCCCTGCCCTGCCCTTGCGCCGCTAGCAGCCGCGCTGCCCTTCCTGTGCGCCGCCCTGCTGGCCGCTGCCCTGCCCTCTTTTCGCGCTGCCCTGCTGCTAGCACGCTCTGCCTGCTATGGCGACCCTGAGCGTCCTCACCTTTGATTCGAAGGGCTGCCCGATAGAGTTCGACTCTTGGCTCGATGACTTACAGCTATTCTTACTGAGCGACTCTAAGGACGGTATTTCGCTGTTTGACCTCACTTCTGGCGCCTCTGTCGCCCCTGCCGACACAGCTAACAGTACGACTCGCTCACAGTGGCTTACTCGTGACGCTGCTGCTCGCCTAGCCGTTTGCAACCACCTTCCGTTAGCCGAACGCGCTCACTTCGGACAGCACAAGACTGCGAAAGCACCGTACGACGCTGTAGTCGCTCGTTACTCCTTCCCGACCACTCCTGCCCTACCTGTTCCCAGAGCTGTCCGCCTTTGCCACCGTAGCCGACCTCGTCACTCACCTTCGCACTAGTGACACTCGCTACCGCGCTGCGCTTCCCGCCGAGTTTCTCACCAAGAACCCTCCTCCCATGTACATCACTCTCTACTTCATAGTCACCCGCCTCCCTGACTCTCTTACCGCTGTCAGGGACCTCCTTCTCGCCCTTGACCCCACCACCCTCACTGTCGACCTGCTCAAGAAGCACCTCCTTGCAGCTGAGACTAGCATAGTCGCTGTAGGCGCTTCTCGTGGCACTCCTCGCACTCCCTTATTTGAGGGGTGTTCGCCCTCCCCCCTTCTCCCCTCAGTCGCCTCTGCTGCAGCTGTTGACTACCTTCGTGCTGAGGAGGTAGGAGCTGCGTCTGCCCCTAGTGGGAGGCGCCGCAGTGGCAGGGGCAGGGGAGGCAGGGGTGGTGGGGGCGGTAGAGGTGGAGGCAGTGGTGGGTGCTGTGGAGGCGGTGGAGGGGGCGGCGGTGGCGGAGGGAGTGGTGGTGGGGGTGGAGGCGTAGGTGGCGGCGGTGGTGGCGGCAGTGGCGGTAGTGGTGGTAGTAGTGGTGGCGGCAGTGGGAGTGGAGGCGGTGCCAGTGGTGGCGGCCGGGGTGGTACCAGTTAGAGGGGAGGC